CGGATGAACCGGTAGTAAAAAAAAAAAAAAAAGCTACCGGTTCAGGTGAACTGGTAGTTAAAAAAAGCTACCGGTTCCTCTGAACCGGTATTTCTGACAATTAATTGTGCAGCTGGGTTTAGATTCACTAAAAAGCAGGATTTCCTGGTTTTTATCAAAGCTAAACTGTGCTGCACAGCTGATCCCCCCGGCTGTTCTACTTACCTTCCCACGCCTTCTTTTGACGCATACTGCGCATGCATGTGCGTGCAGAGTACACATTTGGTGCACACTATGCATGTGTATGCATGCGCGGCCAGAGAACCGGTAGCAAACCAGTTCGGATTTCACCACTGAGAAAAACTATGTTGCACTAAGATTTGACACTGACTTAATGACATGCAATCTATGAATGAGGACTGTGGGTTTTCCATCTCTGAAAGTTTACAAGAGGCTGGACAGCCACCTCTTCTAGGCCTTAGGATAGGTGCTTGTGTAGGTGATGCCTTTGTTAGAAGAGATCGATTTGTCCAAACACATTGGATTTTCTTTGTATTTTTTATTGTTTTTTAAATTCTTATTTCATGTAAGTCATTTTGGAGTTGAACAGCCTCTAAATCTTAAAAATATCAATAACTGGTTTTCTTGGAGAAGATTGGGTTAGATGAGGTTTGGGGTTCCTTCCAATTCTACAACTGACTTGCTAACACTGTTCTTGCTAGACATTTTGGCCAACAGTATAGAGTCACTCTTCCCTGCCTACTTTTCATTGAAAATCCATTCCGCTCTAATTCAGCTCTCTGAAATGTCAGTAGAATATCAGTTCCATGACATTCAAACTTGGGGATGATTTCCTTTGTTCTCATGTGATAAATTTTGTCCTGAATTTGGATGGCTAGCTTTAAAAATTGCTCAAACTCTCCAGAAAGAAAATCTGACCCTTTCTCCAAATCTAAGGGACAGATCTCTCTATGCTACGGTAGAAAAGCAGGTCTCTATGATGAAATAAAGTTCTCAACCCCAAATTCCAGTATTGGCTTACAGATGCCCAATCCTCTGACATTCTTAGTTATTCCAAGAGAGCCCTGTGACAACTTGAAAGATAATACATTTATTTCGATAGAAAACTTTTATAAGCTAGAATTTATTCATCAACAAATCACAAGTGAACTCTAGACCATGCAAGACCATGCTACAATAAATTCATTCATTTTGCTTGAACAGTTGACTTTACAAGAGTAGAAAAATACGTAACTTCTCTAGAAATTGCTGCTGGTGAAGACTGTGTGTGTATATGACATATCAGCATTCCAAGTAATGCATCCCAAGAAATTAGAACTCCAAGGCAGGAATTCAAAGAACATGTTAATTGGATACATCATATCGGTACAGCCAATGAAAACCAACTCTAAAAGTTTCCCACGTTTACCATATAATTAAAAGAGCAAAATTTCCTTCCCAGGTGTCACAGGTCATTGTCCAATCAAAACAAGTGGCAAGGCTCCCTCAATCACCTCTGTTCCTCCTCCTCCTGCTATCTATTGGGATGATCTTGGTTCCGAATGGGAGAGCTCTTTATTTTGTCTACGAGACTGTCTATCTATTTCCCCCTCATCCTTCCCCCATAGTGCGTGGCAACTGTGAAGCAGAACAAGATGACTTCAGCCAGGTTTGATTCAGAGTTGACAACACACACAGACACACACTCTGTGTGTGTGTATGTATGTATAAGTAAGTGTGATTACATGTGTGTGTGTATACAGTATATAAAAGCAGTTTCTAAATCTAAAAATCTTAATCATCATATGGAAACTGCTTTATTTATTTACAATTCAACCTTGATTCAACAGACCACATTGAGGGAAAGCGTGTCCATTAAATTTGAATGTCCATTAAAATCCAAATGCATACTATTGACATAAATGGCATAATTTGCTTAATTATGTAGTTTTAATTAATTACATAATTATGTAAAAATACTAATTACATAATTACACAAATGATGTGAAATGGCATAAATAATGTGGGAATTATGTCAGTTGCCTGGAAAGATTTTAGAAACAATACACTTGTTTGTTGTGTTGGGTACATTAGCATCAATTTGGTACCAAATGAAGACCTTTTAAAAGAGACACAATGGCTCAACAGTTAGAGATGCTGAGCTTGTCAGCTGGAAAGCCGACAGCCCAGATTCGAGACTTGACAGTTGCGCAATGGGATAAGCTCACCTAGCAGTTTGAAAGCATGCAAATGCGAGTAGGTTAATAGATAAGACTTTGAGGAAAAGTAACAGTAACAGTTAATATGAAGTCCAAAAATTTATCATTTGCACCCAAGTGTGTTAAATTGGCATCCATTAAAGTTTTACAGTATAGTAGAACCTCTGGTCACAATCATAATTTGTTCCATAACTTTAGTCGCAAACCGATTTGGTCGTGACCCGAACCTAATTTTGGAAATTTGGCGCTTACAAAAAAAAATGGTGCAGAAGAGGAAATTGACTGCGAGAAAAAAATGTGAATTTTTTGGTCGGAACCCGATTTAGTCGTAGTCAGAAGCGTTCGTGACCAGAGGTTCTACTATATTGTCTTTATTTTCCTCCTCCTTACAAGAAGTTTAGAGTGTGTTCATTGTGTTCCATTCCTGTTTCATTTATTTTGTTTTATTTAAAGATTTAGAGGCTGCCAAGTCTAAAACACCTCTGGGTAGCTTCCATTAAAATTCTCATAACACTTTGTGGTAACTTAGTCTGAACGATTGATTGAGGGTTACCCAGTAGACTTCATGCCTGAACTGTCATTGGATCTCTAGATTCTTAGATTTTCCCTTCATGCTGAAATTATTACATCACACTGCCTCTAAGGTGCAGTGCATATTCTAAAGTGAGAGAAAGTCACTTGTTTCTCCTTCTAATTCTATAGTACAGAATTGATTTACATATGCAAAATGTCAGTTTTCGGTGTTATTTGAAAGCACATTAATACTTGGGTTGGTTGAATGTGAGAAAATTGATTTTCTATCAATCTCTCTAAATCATAGCAGAAAATGGTTCTTAAAGAAGATGGTTAACAATGTTTTGGATGCAACTGGAAAGTCACAGATGTGGCTAAATTATAGCAAGCTTGACTATGTTATTATTACATTGCAATTTTGTTCTAAATTCTGGTAAAACTGTCCTCCCGGAATGAGTTGGAGGAGCAGATGATTTATTTTACAAGATTGATATATTTATGACTCCCTGGCCCATATCACTTTCTTATTAAATAATAGATGAGGAACTACAGCTTTACATCCTCTGTTTTGCTTTTCCGGACAGTATGTATGATTATACACATACATAGAAATAGACAGTCTTTCCTTAGAAGTTTTTTTTTTCATTCAAATCTTAGAGTTGTCAAGGATTACATGGTTTTCCCTACTTTGATCAATATAGAGCTCAGAAGGGATACGAGTATCTTGACAGCTCAGCCTTTCAGCTATAAGAACTGGATGTGCTGAAGAGAAGAATGAAATGCCCAAAATCTGTCATTTCAGCAGGTCAAGCATGGATGCCTAAACACAATCAATCCTGGTTCATGATTGTATAGTAAAACCTTTTTTGCAATGGACTGCAGTGACAGAAATCAAAGCCCAAAGAATGACTAGAATTTGGTAACACATCATTTTAAATTCTTGAATTCCTTTCTTTCTTGGCAGCCATTCCCACATGGGTCGGAGAGTTTAGTGATATCCAGTTACTGAATAAAAATGAATCCAAATATATTGAAATCTTAATTCTTGTTCCTTTTTGGAGTTCATGAAGAAAAAAAGTGAGAAAACCTCATCACATGCTGGGCTTATTACAGAGTGGCACACATACAAGACATATTGACATTATATTTTTGTGATTAAAAACTATCAATTTTTCTGACAAGTAGTTCTTAACATCAGAGGTTATTGGAACATTCTGAATTGCAGTTCTAGTCCAGTCACTAATACTTAGTCCAGAGTTCTTTCCTTTCAACTTTCTAAATATCAGGACAGGACTGATTGGGTAGATTGGAATGAGCCAAGATGCATCTGGTTCAAGAGGATGGTTTTTGTCTTGCATCTCAGAGAAAATGGGAAAGGCAAATAGCATATAAAGTTCTTACATAGTGATCCCATCTTCTCACAGTGTCACTAGACACTCACTAGATTAACCTTCCCCATCTTTTACGTTCTTCCAATGTGTCATACTACCCAGCCAGCATAACCTTTGCTCATTCTAGCTGGGGACAGCTGGATAAGAAAGGCTTTTCTAGACACACTTTTATTTAAATCAGTATTTCTCAACCGTGGCAACTTTAAGATGTGTGAACTTCAATTTCCAGAATTCCCCATCCAGAATTCTGAAAGTTGTAGTTCACACATCTTAAAGTTGCTAAGGTTGAGAAACACCGTTTTAAAATATGGAGACAGTTTCCTGAAACAGCTAGTTCCTCCAGAAGGTTTAAATGCTTTGCTGGATTCGGGCCAAAGAATTAGCGGAACTCCTTCCCGGATCAGAGTCACCGAAGAGGGGAACAAATCAGCGCTGCATGATACTGTACACCCACATCGTTTTAATGCAGATATCTGGGGATGGAGGACGGATCCTCGTTCAACGGCCGCGAATCTCTTTACTCTATGCAGCATCATTTGCATTTGTTTCAGACTATTTCACTCTGGGAAGGAGGGGGTCACCCGCTTCAGTTTACAAATAATAATAATAAATAATAATAATAATAATAATAATAATAATAATAATAATAATAATAATAATAATAATAATAATAATAATAATAATAACAACAATAATAAAATAAAAAAACAGGCTGAAGACAGCAGTCCCGGTTCAGGACACGAGAAGCAACTTCTTAGGGGAGCTCTGAAAAGTGCTGATCTGCATAAAGCGCTGAGGCGACGCGACGTTTAAGTGGCAGCCAGCGCGCTTCTGATTCGTCCGCAGAAAAGTTGCCATTCCGACCGGCGTTAATCACAATTGCGGTGGCTCCTCGCTCCTTTTCGCTCATCCCCTGCCTCTTTTCTTCTTTTCCCCCTGGGCTCTTCTTACGACTTGCCTGTCTTGTCCTCTGTGCGCGCGTCCGTACATCTTTCGCTACTGTTTTCTGTTGCCTGGCGTGTGTTTCACCCCCTAGTGACTGCTGCAAGGCTCCTCCTGCGATCTGCAAAAGGGAGACCTTCCCTGCAATCGAGGCTCTGCTCCCCAGCGTCCTTGCTGGCAACCGGGAATTCAGCAAAAGGGAACCTTGGCCGGGAGCAAAACCACACAAGGTGAGCAAACGTCTCCTCCGCCTCTTCTGCCAGTACCTGCAGCTTCGGGTTATTGAGGTTGATGCGGGTCCGTGGCTCCGTCCAGCGCTGTGGCTGATTTCAAATAAGGTAAGAAAAGGCGCTTCTCTCTCTCTCTCTCTCTCGGTCTCTCTCTCTTTCACCCTGAAAGACGTTTTCCACCACTAAGCAGCGCCTTCTGTCTCAGGACGATCCGCTGGTGACTTTAGAAACTCTCTTGGAGCTTCACTTAAAAACAAACGAACAAACACGCACACAAATCTCCCGGTTTACAACTTTGAAGGCTATTCCTGGCGACAGCAGAATGGTTCGAACCGTAGTTAAAGAGGCTCTTGGAGTGCGTTTGCAGGCTATCTGGAGAACTGGGTCCGGCTCCAATTGGGCAGCCAACGGGTCAGATCCAAGAGATTAGGCTGTCCTGAGCAGTGTTTTAGAAGAGCGCTGGTCAAGTTTCTTCCTAAGCAAAAAGCCCTAAGCTTTTAAATTACACGTTTACAACTTTTTACTAGTTGTGCTTCACAAGCTAAATGACTTCGACATAACTTTAAAAAAAACAAAACTAGGCTTTCTCCATCGACATTTTTGCACCAATCTGTTTATAGTTTCTAGTAAAGAATCTTGACTTTTCTCTTTAAGATGATAAAATGGCTTTATTTTTTAAAACATCAACAACCCCACCTTGAGTTCTCTTGGATAGTTTGACATGCCTGTGACCTGAATATGGCACGTTCTCTAAAATATATAATCTTGAAATCAACTACTTTTTCTGTATTCCCCTTTTCTTCATTCCTGCTTTTTCCTCCAGTTATTAATCTATTTGTTAACGGAGCCTTGGTTATTGTCAATAACCAAGGCTCAATATCAATAAAATTATATCAATAAAAGATAACATCACATCGTTCATAAAACTGGAGCCATAAAGAAAGGACTATTGAATGAGTAATACAGATCAACGATGTATAAAATGTAATAAAGACCTTCATAATAAAGCTTCAAGATTTGGCACTTCCTGCTCTTCAGTTATCTAAACCATCTGCAGATATATTTATATATACATATGAAATAATATGTTGTTTAAAGTTATTTGTCACATTTATCTCTTTTGAGGTTAAATAGATTTAAATAGTAAAGTAAGATATGTGCCAATTATTTAAGATACTTTCTATTTTCCTGGGAGCAACTGATAACTATTGTGTAAACATATTGATAATGCACTTTTAAATACCATGAAGAGGAAGAAGGTCAGTAAACATACCTAAAAGCAGGGTAATTCAGGTTTTAATTACAGATTTGTACAAGGTTGAACAGTATTCTTGAAATTCAATGAACTTGGCAAAACCAAACTTCATATACAATTGTAAAATATAAAAAGACAATGATTTTCATTCCTCCTGAAATTTTCATCTTTCAGTTGATAATTCAGTGATCTTTCCAACTCTTAGATATCCTTATGTAGCAAGTTCATATAAAAGCTATAGGAACTGACTTCACATGTTGCTTGTGGTGGGGTAAAGTATTGGCATCTTAAATGTCATCACTATATCAGGTTACAATCTTTTGATTTTCACTAGCAGTCAACCAAACAAAAGAACTAATCCCCAAAATAAGAAGGCTTTTGTATTTCCTACTATCTACATTTTTTTATTCTTAGAAAGTGTTTTTCCCCCAGAATTTCTTTTCCAGTGAACCTTTTAACAAATGTAAAACTGTGTACTTTCAGTTAAACTTAAAAATTAAACAGTGGTTTCTATTTATTGACTATGGTAAAACCAGTTTGTTATTAATCAGCCCAGATGTATGCATGTAGAAAGTTTTATTATGCTATTCCAACATAATCAGGTGGGGTTTTTTACCAGACTTGTAACATTTTATTGAGAGAAAAAAATGTACTGAAATTTTCCAATAAGAATGGAGTAGGAGAAGCTGCTTGATTTGAGTTTTGCTATTCAGGGGAAAGATGGGAAGAGATACTGCCCTTTACTTGTTAACTCATCCTTTCACTTGAAGATAATTCAGAGTTGAATCTGGGACCACTGATACTATATGTACCACTAGGGTCACTTGGGATTCTTCATTTTTTGACATCTTTGGTGAAAACCCAAGCCTTACACTTTCCAGTACAAATAATTTTAAAATGTGATTGTGAAATCATTTTATTATTAGATCAATAGAGAACAAAATCTCCAATAATCTCTATTCCAACCAAGTCATATTTATAAATATGGTTTAATGCACTATTTTTATAATCTGTTTCATTCCCAGTACATATGTTTGTCTACACATGAGCAGTTCCAGTTTTCTTAAGGTGCAAATCTTTATATGCAAACTTGGAAATAAATAATTTACTAGATGATAGTAAGAATAAGACAGGTGGGATAAAAAAAGTGTAATTGATGGTTAATAACTTTGAGTCTGATAACTGTGGTTGTTCAGTGAATTATGGCAAAGTATAGAACCTGGAGTTTGGGGAAAAAAATATTCTAATTTCAGCAAGTACAGAAATTATCTATACTGTGTGAACTGCTTCAAATATCCTATATAAATTGTAACCCCTTAACTTTAGTGTATGTTTCTCCTGAAAGCCAGAGTGACTTCAATATGATCTGCCTTACAGTGTCAGATGAAAAGCTACTTCCTATTAAGCTATTTACTATTAATACTACTGTATTTAGTATTCTTACTACTTACTATTATGCTATTTAGATGAAAAGATGCTTAGGACTCAGCAGGTACTGCAAGAATATGACTGTTTTGCTTCTTCAATACTTCTTTTTCAGTGTTACTAAGATTATTGTTATGCAAGCAAATTACTGTATTATTTATTTCACTTAAATTTATTTATGAATCTATTTTTGTCTTGCTTTTCTTAATTGCAATTGGTCACAGGATTTTTAGGATAGTGGATGAGCTGTAATGTTTTAAATAAATAACTGTAGCTGTTAAAATGGCCTTATTACAGTATGAAGGAAATCCTGAAAGCCCTATTGGTACATAATACCCCAAAATTATGTCACCATGATTTTAACTTAGATGAATTTCTGCCCAAATTTCTTCTACTGGGGAGAATACATTGGAAATAGTTTTGCACTGAATCAAACTTTTATTAGTCCATCGGATTTAGTATTATTTACATAAACGGGCAATTGCACTCCAGAATTTTAACTCAAGATTTTCCCCAATCCTACTTGAGGATGCTAGGGCCGAATCTGGGAACATCTGAATGCAGAGCAGATGTTGTGGCTCTTATTTCCTTTCTCATTATGTCCCAGCTTTTCACTAGATACTCAGTCTCCATCTATCCTTCTTTTAGATCCCATCACTATGCCTCATGAGGACAAGTCTATTGAAAGGCATCTCCTATTAGGAAAGGCATGCTTGACAGATTGGCATCCTTTCCAGCATTTACAAAACCATCAACCTACCCTCCAATAATTCATACTTATTGCTTAAGTATAACTCTGTGCACCCGTGACTTATTGAGCCAAGTGGAATTATATATTTAAGAATATGTTCTTGAATTTGGTTCAGAGCCAGTCGAAGTTACTCTGCAGCTGAAGGTGAGATTATGTCCGCTCAGTGCCTTGTACAGAATGGAACTGGACTAGTAGCTGAATTTCACTTCAATGCTGGAGATGTGTCAGTATCTTCCATTGTAGCCAAAGGCAGGATCTTAGTTTAGAGAATGTATGAGTTCCCAGCTTAATTCGCATGAAAGAAGAAAGGTTCAGCATGTATAGAGCAAGACTATTGTCTGAGGAACTTGCCTCCTTCTGTGTACAGGTAGTCCTAAATTTATGACCATAATTGAGCCAAAAATTTATGTTGTTAAGTGAATTTTTTAAAAAATGAATTTTCCCATTTTATGACTTTTGTTGCCACATTTATTAAATGAATCATTGCAGTTAAATTAGTAACATGGTTAAGTGAATCTGTGTTCTCCATTGACTTTGCTTGTCAGAAGGTCGCAAAATGACTCCTGAATACTGCAACCGTCATAAATATGAGCCAGTTGTCAACCATCTGAATGTAAATCATTGCAGCATCCCAATGGTCATAAGTGTGAAAAATGGTCATAAGTCACTATTTTCAGTGCTGTTGTAACTTTGAACGGTCACTAAATGAACTGTTGTAAGTTGAGGACTACCTGTACTTGTTGGAGGGCCAGCTTTGTATGATTTGATGGTTGCAATGCTTTACAATGAAAAGTGCAATTTTGATGAATTAAAGTTGAAAGAGTTAGGAAAAGGAAAAAGAATTAAAACATACTGAAAATAAGCAGACTATAGATGGATGAGAAAGGAATAAACTGGAGTCTCTGGTAGAATTCATTATCTAATTTATCAGTCTATACTTCAGTTTAAAATGCTTTAACTAAGTGGATTAAAGCATTAAATCATATAAAATAAAGCGCTGTATAAGATCAAGACTGAAGCTACAACACAAAAATGTGTCTAGAATTTTTAAAATGTTTAAAAAGCCAACTGCAATGAAACCACAGCTATATGAGAAAGTACATCTGAGAACTTTATTGAAAAATAAAAACCACTTTTGATACAACTATGAACTGGATGACTGAGAATCTTCATAGACATTTAAATCTGAGAATGTTAAATAAAAGAATGGGTATCTTTTGCCATTTCTATTATTCAAAAACTATGTATGTATGTATGTATGTATGTATGTATGTATGTATGTATGTATGTATGCATGTTTATTTGTTTGTTTGTTTGTTTGTTAATGCATAACTGATATAGTTTTGTAAATACTTTCTCCAGATATGCAATTTCAACATGGTTTCCTCAGACTGTCTATTTTAAATAACTTTATTGAGGTTTCCAAACCTTTATTGAGGTTTGCAAATCTCACCTACATTTAACCAAACCAGATTCACATTTAAGTTGAGGGTTGCCATGGAGTATCTTCCTTTTCTTGCCCACCAAAATGTGTTTGCTTACCAGTGAGTTCTGTAATCACAACAAGGCTCTCTTGGAATTCATTTTACATGAAATATAGGTGCAATGTTCATGTATTGGAGTGGTTGATTAATATTCATGGAGCTGAGTGATTGATTAATAAAAGTTTGTACCACTTGCCTGTGAGAATTTATCTGCCATTGGGGGAAAAAAAGAGATATTTTTACCACTAGTGGCAAGCAAAAAAGAAACAAGAGCTGCTACTATCATTTCTATATCATTTATTATTTATTAAACACATTTCTACCGCACCACAATCAAAATGACTGTTGGCTGTTTACACAGAATATAAATGGGACAATTTAAAACACTTTCTGCATTGATTTTCTGATCACTATTATGGTTATTTTTATACAACTTACAGTGTTTGCAAAGTTTTATTACTTAAAGTAGCATCAAGGCTTTGGAGGGGATTCTGCCAAAAGGATTTCAGATGGATTGCTGTGGATGCTTATTTTTGTTCCTTTTTTTGCTTATCACGAGAGATACCATCTCCTGTCCCAAAAATGTATATCCAAAAGCAGAAAAATTCAAATAGGCAGATTGTGCAAACGTTGACTCTTTCCCTCCTCTCCCTTCTTTTTATCTCTGCTTTATTTTCTGCCTAAAGGCCATAAAATTGATCTAAAACGGAAACTGAACAAATTACAGCTATAATAAGAACAATCAGCCCCAAGCGAACACTAAAAAGTGATACAATGAAAGATGGCATCATAATACATAAGCCAGGGAAAAGCTCCCAAGAAACCATTTCCATTAGCGACAATTTCCATTAGCAGCAATTTCCGAAATATGGATTATTAGTAGAAGACAAGTCAAGTTATACCTGACTTATCACATTGCATGGGTCTTCATACATCACTAAACTACGATGTTCTTAATGAAGATATACTGGAAAGTCATAGTTGGGTATGTTCAACTAAGACCTTTAGTCAGAAATCATGATTTACACAGTTAATGACAGTATGTCTTAATATGATGCATGAAATAGTGATTTGTAAATACAATTTGTGATCTAGCAGATTGTCTGAAGCAAGTGCATGCATACTTTCCTGCATCACCACAGTAATTCTCCTTTCTATTAGAGAAAGTCATGGCTGGCAACAGAATAACAAAGTTGCCCATGGCCAAATGAGGCTCAAAGTTAATATACGCTCAGTTTTTCATTCGAACATAGCAATACATATATACTTCAGGTTACATCATACTCTAGAAGCCAAGAACCAATATAAAAATATTAGGAGTGCAGAAGGTAGTTTTGCACTTGACTAGTCATCCATCTAGTCTTTTGCAATGTATCTGGCAGTATCTTCCGAGAACTTGGGACAGAAGGTTGGTTTTATTTACTTAATTTTTTGTTTTTTACATTTCCTACCTAATTCTTTTGAGAACAACCTTGTACTGTATTGTACAAGGCCTGATTTTTTAAAAAAGATTCAAATAGTTGAGTTTCAGGCATCTAACTTTCTTCCAAGTACCAATGCTAAGATCACATTTGGGGTGTTTAATGCCTTTTCTTCATACTATGACTACCAAACTTTTCATGTTTGTGTGCAGGTGTTACCTTTAATTCTTTAAAGTAGGTGCCATTCAAAGTAACAGGGCGCTACATTACAATACTAGTAAAATAAGGCAATCTTTGTCTCCACGAGTAAATAAAAGCTTCTTTTTATTTAAGAAAACATATGGATAGAAGGAACTTTTCCCCTCTTGAGCAAACAATTTATCATCTGCCATCATATGCAAAGCTGAGACCATATTAATTATATTTATACATAAAGTGCCCTGAAGTTCCAGTATTGCTTCCAAGCGCTGTAATAAACATTCCACAGCCAAGATACTGTAGAAAGGACAATGAATCAAAACATCATAGTGAAAAGCATTTAGCTTGATTATGAAAAGGTACCTCATGAAATAGGTACTGGGTTTTGAATTTTTAAAAAAGGAGGCAAATATGAAATCTGTGTTTCAACTGTGTCTTATTATATCTGAGTTTTGTGCTCTAACTTCAGGTATTCCAGGAAGGAATTTATTTAGTGCACTTTCTTTTGAATATACAATATTAAATAGGGAAGGTTTTTTTTTATCCAGTTCATTTCTAGATAAAGCAAGTAAGATTTATTTCAGTACATTTTTTGAAGTTGCAGCTGCTAACTTTATCTCTAATGCTATGAAGATATCTAAATGACATAGAAAGGAAGAATATTTAGTAGCTGAAATTCATTAGGATAATGAATTTCAATGTTAATGGCAGAAGCTTGTCAAGGGCTACAGTCAAATGAATATGTTTAATCTAAGAAAAATTTTATTCATAGAACTAAATCTGTGTTAGCTGTTCCCTTCTATCTTATTTAATAATGTCTCCTTCATTCATTTATATTATATTGATGATTATCAAGGTTAGTGTGAAAATTGTGATTTTTAAAAGCTTATTTCTGATAGTAGCTGTGCTGTTTTTCTTTTCTCCTCAGGATCCACCGGAAGCACATTTACAGATCTGCCAAGTTTGAGGGAAGAAATAGCTGTGCTCTTACTCCGTTCTTCTAAAGAATGATGTAAATGCAGAACTTGTAGCCAAATACAACATGGGCTCTAACACCTCTAGCAAGTCACCAATATACGATGAGAATGAAGATGGTAAGATGAAGACTGCTTTGTTTAAAATGCATTGCTAAGTTAAACCGGGTGTTCCCAGACCATTGCCAACCTGTTATATAGGTTTATAGTAGGTGTCCCTGTCAGCCACTATAGCCTGTTTACATGTTGTAGGAGGATAATGGAATCTATCATCTAATACAATTGGCATCAGATTGGAAAAGACACATTTAGGTGCCGTAATAAAGCCTTATCTATGGAATTCTTTATTACAACTGCTGCTGAAATAGTTATGGAGCAAAACCAGGTGTTTTGGTTTCATTGGGCTTGCTCTCTTCTGTTTCTTTGTTGCTGCTAATTCCGTGTCTGTTTGGAAGCAGCTAAGGATCTGGGACAGATCTGAAAGTGGTAATTATATTTGCTATCTGATCCATCAAAACTACAGACTGAAATTGAATCTCTGGTGAGGTTATAGGGTCTTGGGATCAAAATTTTCTTACATTGTATGTGAGAACTATTCTATTACTTGTTAATGAATTGTGAATATAATCAATTATAAATTAATACTATGTATTCAATTTCTGCTTTGGAAATTATCGGGGTTCCTTTCTTTGCATACATTTTCAGAAATACAATAGCAAAGTCACGGTTGACAATGTATGAAATATACAATATCACAGTTAAAAGTCTTATTGAGAAAGATCTTGGAAACAGTTTTGTTGGCCTCCCTCATCCCCAAGGACCCTTCCAACAATACTATTAGTATATGACTGCTTCCTACAGAGCTTGATTACACTAGACAACATACTATAGGCATCTGACACAGGTAGCAGCAGTCATTATTCTTCCTATAATGGATGATCCAAAGACATCAAAGCTTTCTCCATTCTGGAATAATATTGGGAACATGCAACTCTGAACCTCAAATTTTATTGCAAGTTTTATATAAAAGCAGCATCCTACTATTTATTAATCATTCTTATTTATAATGTACTGATATTCATTATGGGTTATATCCAGATATAGACTTATTTAGAAGAATTGCATAGAAATAAATTGGATTAAGTACCTCTGATTTCAGTGAATCTATTTCAGCTATGATTACATCTGGTTACAACTTAATATCTGCCTAGTCCATATCCACTATGAAAAACAGCCAGACTTTCTGAAATAATGCCAAGGATTTTCACATCACTCTGGGGCATTTCACAGGCAGCTGCTGTGCTGTGAAGTCCTTAGGGATATTAGCCAGGTGCCAATGTTAGTTTTCTCTAGTTACCAGCTGGTGACATTTGGTAACTGTAGTTTTACATTTTACTTAGCCTGGGCTTTTTTTTTTTTTAATCTTCTGGTTTAATCAAAATGGTTTTTGATTAAGTTCTGTGAAATGTCATGTTTTGGGGTGTAGTGATGGAGTGTAATGACATCAGTCATGGGTGGGATAATTTGTTATTGTTGTTGATTTGAGGAATGCATTCTGCGATAGGGTGAGTGAGCAATAAAATTGGATTGAAGCAAAGGTAGGTAAGGCATCCAGTTTATCTCTTTTGAAAAATCTTTTTAAAAAAAATAAAATTATCTTTTTCTTTGTTATCCATTCCTCTTTGGCCTAGCCTCCTACCTCTGCATATACTGTATATCTATAGGTAACCTGGCAGAGAAGAGTACAATTGACTATTTTCAATGGACTCTGCTTGAAATTAGAGACTATACTAGATTGAGACTATACCAAATCAGGCTGAGAGCTATTCTGGTCACAGTCAATGATTTGCCTTGAGCAAGTTGAGGAGCTATTTGAAAAGGAGCTGGTTCTGTTTAACAATCCCCCTCCACGTTGGGCATGGGAGTTAAGTCAAATATGATAAATGGAGGTGTTTGAGAGCTTCCCAAGTTCCCAGGGGAAAAAAATGGCCAAACTCATAATTTTCTAAGATAATTGAAGAACATAGGATGTCTTTTTGCCATTCCCATGAAGTTCAGAAAAAATATGTTGTAGGATTGAAATTGAGGAGTGGAACCAAAATCCTTGTAAGGATAATCTGCCTTTGACACACCCACCTCACCTTGTAAATTAGCTCTATAGGTTTTCTCTCCATTCCCAAGGTGCAGTAATTATGAGGGTAGGGGTTTTGATATTCATTTCTAAACCCGTCTTCCAAAAACTGGATACAAACAGGTTAGAATATTGGAACCTATAAAAATCTCTGATGAACATGCTTTTATACATCTGCAATAACCAAATTAACTCACAGACAAGTATATCTGATTAAAGATGGAGATAGACACCTATGTGTTTAGATACAAACCAGAACTATCATTGAGCAAATCCCAGGATAAAATCCTTTATGCTCTTGGAACTTCTTCTGTTGACACAATTTTTCTACAGGGAACATTTTCCTATATACATTATTGAGAATAGTTTATTTTACTCAGGAAAGTATTAAATTTGTATGAGATAGTTACAGAACTCCAACCATTAACTCTAATGTTTAATCCTTCCAAGTCAGATTATGAACTCTCTGTTTATGGAACTTTTCCTCTCTTCCTTCCTTCTCAGGAGTTTTTCATATAACTTTCAAAAAGAGGCATTTAAAATTTTTCCGTTGAGCAGTTTTAATCTCAGTACAAGTTCTGGCTCGCAGGATCTTTCTTTCTTCCAATAATGATGCAATATTAGACCTAACCAATCTTCACACCTGCACTGCAGCTTTGCCCTTTTTATCTTTTAAAGGGAATAATGCTTAGGGAAAGACCACAAAGCTGTGTTTACTTGTGAGCTGGAGCGTAATTTTGTGGTAGCAGCTCAGGGAGTATGATGGTTGACATGTATGAATGTTATTGTAAAAGACCTTGTTACACCTCTCTCTGTTTCTAAACTCACTTGTTTTGTTCTTCTCAGCTTATACTCTGTTGTCACGTATTTTAATAGTTGCATGTCCTTCATGACTCCCATATCAGAGGTTCTTTCTTGGTTCCTTAATTTCCTCGTTTGCTACATAATTAAGCTGTATTCTTATCCAGACTTGGATCTACTTGAAGCACTCAAGTATAAGATAGCTCACAGTTTAGCTTCTTTTCAAATCTCAGGATTTAATTTGCAATGCATCTACTCCAGTTTTCATAAAGATGTTTCAACCTTGTGTGGTAATAATTGGATTGTTCCCAAAATATTATTAACTGGAACCTGGGAGTTGGGGGAGGGGGAGGAAGTTGTTAGCATGTTATTAGAAAATTAAAATGGTTTCAAGTTTCAACTCAGATTTAGGTTTTAACCACCTCTATCAAATTAATTGTGGCGTGGGAACACTTAATCTAAGTCAATGTATGCACTTTGCATTCTCAGTTCTTCAAGAAAAAAGATAGATGATTTCATGCCATTACCAGTGCTGAGTTGGGTTTGACAATTAGCTGTAATGGAATTTCTGTGTTGGCAAGGAGTTGTTTAGATGACCTCTAAAATTCAATGATTTAAGCTGTGAGGGATTTGAGGAAAATTATTCTGGCAGAAATCTGAGGGTTATTACATGTATGATGAATATCCTTTGTTGATTTGATTCAAGTATATCATCAGTGATATACTTATACAACCTAATGATCAAAACCCCTCACTAGTGATTAAATCTCACTAAATGTTTGGAAGACCAAATATACATATGCAAATGTATAGGAGTATTTACTATTTTGAAAGTAATAGCTATGGCTAAAACCTACCACACAATCTAGGAATATTAATCCAAGAAAGCCTTACTTGTGGAGTTGCCTATGGGAACGGGATGAAGCTACTGAATTATCTTAATCTTCCAATATGTGGACTATGGCACATCAATTGCCATTTCTACATTCATTGCAATAATTCAACCTTCAGGTGATAAAAGCATACATTTTCATAATTAAGTCCTCCAAGTACAACAGGACCACAACTGGTGAATGGACTACCTGAACCAAAGTAGAGTGATAACTTGGCTTCTACTTCCTAATGTCTCTACCTTCTAATCAAACGATAGTAATTAGTCCAGTTTGGACTGTCAAAGGAAGAAAAACCATTTGTTCAACAACTTCTCCCCTAGCACAACTGGACATAAACTCTTAAAGGAAGGAAGGAACAGTAAAGCCTATCCCCAGCAGATATGAGTGATCCACAAATATACCATGGATTGCCATGGTATTAAACACTGCTAAAAGTTCCAGCAAGACCAGAAAGGCTGAATTCCTTGGATTCAGAACCTGATGTAAGTAACCTGATATAGTGACCCATGTAGTTTTCATCTCATGCCCAGGCCTAAATGCTAAATGAAAGGGATCCATGATATATTGTTTAAATGTTCAATAATATGCACTACATTCTCTAATTTCATTCATAATCCAGCTCTGAGACGTACCAATTGCCATCTCCTGTTCTGCCCCAGCTACGGACCCCAAAGAACGCAGCATACACAAAGTCCGTTCAAACCTTACTTTACTGAATAAACCAGTCTTTTACAACAACGGCTGTTAATTTTTTTTTTTTTTTTAATTTGATTTATATGCCGCCCTTCTCCGGAGACTCAGGGCGGCTTACAGTGCGTTAAGCAATAGCCTTCATACTTTTGTATATTTATACAAAGTCAGCTTATTGCCCCCACAAACTGGGTCCTCATTTAACCTACCTTTAGAAAGGATGGAAGGCTGAGTCAACCTTGAGCCTTGGAGAGATTCGAACCAGCAGTAAATTGCAGGCAGCTGTGTTAATAACAGGGTGCTTTAAACCACTGTAGTACCAAGGCTCTTAATTGCATTAACAGCCGCCAAGAATTCAAAGAATAATAACTGAAAGCTTACTATAGTTGGCAGAATGCCCAGAAGCAATTTGCAGGAAGCTGATAAGATAAGCAAGACAAGACAAGACATGAAGGTATGTGAACTAAGTTGTTCCCTGCAAATTGCTTCAGTCGGTGTTCCTCCTTAAATAGGCTAAGGGAGTGGCCAATTAGCCCCAAATCTTACTCTTGAGAAGACCTCCTCCTGAGGAGCCACTCCTGCCTTTTGGCATCTCTGTGTGCCCG